GCTTTGTAACTCTTCGAGATACAAATGTATTTGGATTTGAGCACTTTTCCTGCAGTCGTCCCTTGTAACTATAATTTTTGCATTTTTTTTCTCTAATTGTTTTTAATTGGGTTTTAAGCTTTTTCCCATGTGCCTGGGGTCCAATTAGTAGGAAAAGTCCAAAACATGGGCCAAATCGGTTTATTTGGCAAAGTTAGGGTATTTGGCGTTTTCGGTCTCTATGGCCTATGGAGCAGAATATCGGGAACATTTCTTGGGCTTACTTTTTCCCTATGGGGAATTTTTGAGCTCTGTTTTTTTCTAAATGTCGACATGGTCCATGTGCATATGCTTGCCAAATTTCAGCTCTGTAGCTTTGTAACTCTTCGAGATACAAATGTATTTGGATTTGAGCACTTTTCCTGCAGTCGTCCCTTGTAACTATAAAATTTGCATTTTTTTCTCTAATTGTTTTTAATTGGGTTTTAAGCTTTTTCCCATGTGCCTGGGGTCCAATTAGTAGGAAAAGTCCAAAACATGGGCCAAATCGGTTTATTTGGCAAAGTTAGGGTATTTGGCGTTTTCGGTCTCTATGGCCTATGGAGCAGAATATCGGGAACATTTCCTGGGCTTACTTTTTCCCTATGGGGAATTTTTGAGCTCTGTTTTTTTCTAAATGTCGACATGGTCCATGTGCATATGCTTGCCAAATTTCAGCTCTGTAGCTTTGTAACTCTTCGAGATACAAATGTATTTGGATTTGAGCACTTTTCCTGCAGTCGTCCCTTGTAACTATAAAATTTGCATTTTTTTCTCTAATTGTTTTTAATTGGGTTTTAAGCTTTTTCCCATGTGCCTGGGGTCCAATTAGTAGGAAAAGTCCAAAACATGGGCCAAATCGGTTTATTTCGCAAAGTTAGGGTATTTGGCGTTTTCGGTCTCTGTGGCCTATGGAGCAGAATATCGGGAACATTTCCTGGGCTTACTGTTTCCCTATGGGGAATTTTTGAGCTCTGTTTTTTTCTAAATGTCGACATGGTCCATGTGCATATGCTTGCCAAATTTCAGCTCTGTAGTGTGCAAAGTCTTCGAGATACAAATGTATTTGGATTTGAGCACTTTTCCTGCAGTCGTCCCTTGTAACTATAATTTTTGCATTTTTTTCTCTAATTGTTTTTAATTGGGTTTTAAGCTTTTTCCCATGTGCCTGGGGTCCAATTAGTAGGAAAAGTCCAAAACATGGGCCAAATCGGTTTATTTCGCAAAGTTAGGGTATTTGGCGTTTTCGGTCTCTATGGCCTATGGAGCAGAATATCGGGAACATTTCTTGGGCTTACTTTTTCCCTATGGGGAATTTTTGAGCTCTGTTTTTTTCTAAATGTCGACATGGTCCATGTGCATATGCTTGCCAAATTTCAGCTCTGTAGTTTGCAAAAGTCTTCGAGATACAAATGTATTTGGATTTGAGCACTTTTCCTGCAGTCGTCCCTTGTAACTATAAAATTTGCATTTTTTTCTCTAATTGTTTTTAATTGGGTTTTAAGCTTTTTCCCATGTGCCTGGGGTCCAATTAGTAGGAAAAGTCCAAAACATGGGCCAAATCGGTTTATTTCGCAAAGTTAGGGTATTTGGCGTTTTCGGTCTCTATGGCCTATGGAGCAGAATATCGGGAACATTTCCTGGGCTTACTGTTTCCCTATGGGGAATTTTTGAGCTCTTTTTTTTTCTAAATGTCAACAAGGTCCATGTGCATATGCTTGCCAAATTTCAGCTCTGTAGTGTGCAAAGTCTTCGAGATACAAATGTATTTGGATTTGAGCACTTTTCCTGCAGTCGTCCCTTGTAACTATAAAATTTGCATTTTTTTCTCTAATTGTTTTTAATTGGGTTTTAAGCTTTTTCCCATGTGCCTGGGGTCCAATTAGTAGGAAAAGTCCAAAACATG